GCTTTGCATTTGTCTGCTTTATCAGCCTTCGCTGAACAGACTAGACTGCGTCATTTTTGCGGCTCTGAGTCATCCCTCCAGCACCCCAGGTCACGCCCATATCACAAACTCCACCCCCAATCGGCGCGAACTGCTGTGAATCAAAATCTGCGAGTATTTTTTCTCCTTAGCACCAAGGTGGGTAAGACCAGGTAATCCGATACTGTAGAAGTACGTTGAAAAAACTCCTCAGAGCCTATCGTTCTCATGGGTACCTCCTTTTCTGGGGCAGGCGCCATTTATGGGACACCTTTTCTTGTCCTCATCTATTGGAGATCCGTCACTCCTGGGATTTTGGTTGAAACCAGGAGACAAAATCAACAGGTCCGTAACTCTGAAACTGCCTCAGGGGATAGCAAAAGAATTGCTGTTATTGGCGTCGAAAGCTTCCTCGTCTTCCGGGGCTCACACTGTGTCAACATGCACTATGTAGCTTGTTTTTCTGTCTTGCCTCAATGTAAACAACGGATCTCATCACGCTATGCTGAATTCTTGCAGCTATGTGGGGAACTTGGGCCAAATTGGCTTGGCTGGTAGGGATTTCGTTCTGGTTCGGAAGCCGTATGTCCTTTCTGGAATGGTCTGTTTCCAAAGTATACCTTAAGGTAATGCCAGGAAAAACCTACTTGATTAGACATCCCAACTTTATGGCTTTCAGTGAAGGGGTAAGCTTACCACTGTAAGGATTCGAACCCTCAACCATGTAAACATGAAGCAGACCACATACCCCTTGAGCCATCGACGCTCACTAACCTCTCTCGATCGCAGCTTTATCGAAATAGCTCAGTTCACGGTCCCTCTAAACACCCCTCGTAATTTCTTTCAGAGAGTCGTTCAGCAGATTTGGAAGACAGATTTGAAATCAGCGTCTCAGACCACAGGGTTTGTACATCTCTTTCAAAGATGCCACTTCGACCCACCATGTTCCCTGGTTACCTCATTGTCAGTAGGCTGGGTAGGCGGATAAGAATGATGGCAATGGAAGGATAACTGACGAAGCTTTTGGAATTGATTATTCCCGTTTCTTCGTTTTGGATGCGCCACACATGCGACTCCCATAATAACATTTGAATGCGATTGGGTCCATACAAAAACTTGAGGGACCAGCCGAGGAGTACCCGTTGGTCGGGTATCCGACAGGAGGCCTGTCGTGCGGCGTCAAGGCAGAGACGCAGATGATTCGCAGCGCGCACTGTACGATATCGGATGTATTATAGCACACTCGATTTGACAAGAACGTCAGGTCGCCGAGTACGCGCTGCGGCTCGTCCGCGTCATTGCCTTCTCGCTGCGCGACAGGCCTCCTGTCGGGCACCCCCCGTTGGTCACACTAATTCAAGGTGCTTCGAACGATGCTCGAACGATGAAGATGTGGTTGGCCTGAACTTTGGCGGGTTCCTATGATACTCGCTTTGCTGCCAGTGGCGTGGGCCAGTTCCTATGGCGGAATTATAGTTTGGGTTTGGACGGTAAGGCATAAGTGGTTTCGGGTTCTCATGTTAGATCGGTGTCAAGAGGGGTCAGAGAAGTTCTGGGTTGTGCGCGGTAGCGTGCAAAGTCGAACTGGTACTTTGAAATGACGCAAATTCGGTCGACAAACATTATAGACATCAATGAGCGGTGGCTAAAACACAGCAGTTAAAAATGTGAAAAAAGGGCAGTAAAAACTTGTTTTTTTTTTCATTCTGTTAGTATTGCGTGCTTAATTTAACGGCAATTTGCATGAATGTGGGTGAGAAGGTAAGAACCAGCGGTGGCGCGCCGAAATCAGCTAAACACGCGATGGATTTTTCGTTTTTGCCGTGGCCGTTGCTGTATAGGCCGCGCGCGACACACGCGACGCAGCTGTCGTCGCTTTGCCGCATTCGGGATCTCTTGACTCTCCCTGTGAGGCATGTACTATGTATTAATATCAGTCCTGGAATGGTCGAAGGCGTAAGTCAACACTCACGCGCGTCATAGAGCAGCGACATCTATTGGTGTTCAAGGTTGAAGAAAATTGTCATGGGAGGATAGAAATCCTGAAGTGAGATTTCTCGGCGATCGGTTTTTTCACTGGTAAACTACTGACCAAGTTCTATAGGTGGTGGGCGCCTGATTCCTGAGTGGACTAATGAATGTCGTCAAGGATCTCAGCAATACAAATAAAGCTGGTCAGTCGCTTGCGGAATATTTGATGATCCCTGAATTATACATGTTCAACTGGGATTTCAGCACCACAAGGCACAACACAGTCTGGTTCGCAGCTGAGTCAGGAGGATATAGCAAGGATCACGGCCGGCCTAGGCTCACTTGGTGGGTTATCATCACTCCTTCTTTCCGTCGTTTGCCGGTTGATATCAGTCCATCGTCTGATCCAAGCTCTCATACTCTCCTTCCTCCCCCCAGTTACCTTCCCAGGAATTTTACGCTTGATAGTGATAGTCCGCCATTTCTTATCTTCTACCTTGTGAAATGTAGTGAAACATGAAGCACTTGGCGTCACCGGTCTTTTTCCTGGAAGCGCCACATATATCCAATCAGAAGCATTAGAATGCGATCTGACATATACGATGGCTCACGAGGTTCACCCGTGTACAAATAGTCTCGTTCTCCGCCCAGTAACAATTGAAGAACCCTTGCTAGGGATGAAAACACTTTCAGCTTGATTTGGGTGATTGGTCCGGGGAGGATTTGATCCGAGACTTGACCCCTATGTGTAAGCTATAGTTTTCAATGAACACCTTTTTCAGCTACAACTCTCAAGGAGAAGGCGTGGGGAAGCCATGCGGACGAAGAATCAGGTAGGTCGGTCCACTTTCCTAGTACAACCATCGGCTCGAACACACTGTGATGCAATTTCAGTCACAAAATTGGACGCTCAAGGTGGAAAAGTCCAGGTATCATCTGTGGTAGAGAAGACCACCACCGCAAGTGCGGACCAACCTCCTTCTTCAGGTAATCATACTTTCTGAACTTCTTACGCCGACTCTCTGAAGAGTAGGAGCCATAAAGAGTCGCTTCATTCGTAGGGTTCCCGCACCTTGAGCTCAATACCAGGAAATTTTGCGCTACCTTAGTGAAAAAATGTGAACACTCCCTACGAGACGCGCGCGGCTGCGTCACGTTAAAACGGGTGGTCTGATATACCAATACTTTGTGGTAACACGCATAGCTCAGCGCACATGTGAATTTTTGGATATTTTACATACTATTTCGAATAGTGGCTCTTTCAGCGTTCACTCAATAACGATCGAACGCACGCGCGTAAAATCAATACCTATCTAAAGTACATGCAGCAGTAAATTTGTAGACAATAAACGAGCTCGAACCAGTTCGCTTTGAAAGCATTATTCCTCTACTGAATAAATCGACACTTCATATTTTGCAGCAGATTTGTATAAATTCCCCTGAAAACTTGTTTCTATTGGATAACTGCGGGAAGCAAAACATCGAGCACGGAAATCCCGACTGGCAAGAAAATCTTGCCTACAGCAGCCGTAACATTTACGTAATCTTACAATTTTGCCTACTTTTGATCACTTTCCTTCAGGTGGTGACTTCCTCCCTCAGTGGACTGATGAATGTCGCTAAAGATGTGGGGAAGGTGCTCGGTGAGCAGAATCAAACCGGCTCAGCCGCCAACACTTCAGGTGTGCAGCTCATCGCTTGACAAATTCTAACACTAGACCTGTCGGACCTGAACTAGGGTCATATTCAATTTTATTATAACTTTTGATTTAATTGAAATTGAAAATTTAATTTTAATTATAATTTTGGCATCAGTAGAATTAAGCGCGGTCTGAATAAAGCGTACAGTAATTTCAGGTAATACGACACAGCAGCAGGCGGATCTCAGCTTAGCCAAGAGGACATCGCCAGAATCTCATCCGGCCTGGGATCACTCGGTAGGTTGTAAAATAGAATTATATGGGATGCTATGAGTTGGGGTGGGTTGAAAACAAAACTGTTCATTAATGGACGGTCGTAGGGATCGCGCTGAATAGAAGGCAATGTTTGATGTTACCCGTTACACACAACTGCTGAGGGAAATCCCGAGGTTATGAACGATACCAGCAATCAAAGATCGGGGGTATTGTTGTTTTCGCCAAGGAATCGAAGATCGCGTGGGCCGGTCACGTCATGTGGCAGTTCGGTATTGTGGTTGAATACGTCATTTTCTTAGGTTGCTTGGCTGGCAACTTTCCTCGCTAAAACGCCACTTATCGTCGCTTTCTTTGAGATCCTTTACATTTACCTTACTTTACCTGACATGTCTTTACCAGAGAACGGACTTTGTGTACCACATGGTGATGCACGCAGCAGAAGGGAGGAAGGACTCGGTTGCACTGACATAGTTTTTGCATTTTTTCAATTCTATTTTTTTCTTATTTGTGTCTTCTCAAACTAAAAGTTATACATGATCCAAAAACCATCTTATTCATCGCCAATGCATGGAAATAATTGCATGAGACGTAACGGTTATTTATGAAGAAATATTAGAAAAAAGGCGAGGAAATACGCTCACAGTGGTGTGCAACTGTGCATCACCGTGTGGTGCACGCGGTTCATATGTGTTGAAGAATTCCACGATAAGGTCGAATGTCGAAGAAGGGAAACTTACCTAGTGGAAAGGCGGGTGGACCTGTCAAGGGAGCCGACCAAACCAAATCGCAGCGAAGGAGATGCCCCCGACGGAAGCATGGCCGTCCCGCGCCGCTATCGACGCGGCACGCCCACCGACTGGCTAACCACTCGCCGTCTGACTCTAGCCGTTTAGCAGAGAGAGCGTTAGCGTTGAAGAGGGCAGCACCGATGAGAGTCGCATCAATGCGGAAATCAACGGGCAAGGAAGGGGTCCCATTTCTCGGGTTGGGCCGTTTCTCATGGTTTTTTCTTCATCCCGCACCACTGACCACCTCTACCTTGATTCTAATGGGCTGCCTTCTAATCATAAACTCCGATTGAATATTTCAGTGGATATGTTCAAGACAAAGCCGGTCATGAAAGAGCACCAAGAGGAACAAAGTGAGCATACAGGCAATTTTCTTTGAGTTGATATGGTTAGTTTGACTCAAACTTTTCAGTGACAAAGGTCGAGGCACACACAGGGCCGAAGCCTATGTCCCTGTTGGAGAAAGCCGATGCCCAAGGTAGTTTATTAGAAAATCAGAGATAACGAGTTTTCTTAATTGGTCTGTCTAAATAGGTGCTCATTTCAGCTGAACAAACGCTACATGAAGGACCTTCAGGTATTTTTTAAAGATCACTTCAATGTCTTATATCAAGCATTCGGTTCAAATTAAGATTGAGGCCATTTTAGTAGGTCACGATTTCCTGAGCGGACTGTTAAATGTCGCCAAGGATGTGGGCAAAGTGGTCGAGCAGAATCAGCACGGAACAGCTACCAACCCACCTGGTAGGTCATAAATGACCATCATTCGGAAGAACATTGCATAGCAAATCGGTTATGGTGGGGCAGTGGCAAAAGGCGCTACCACCGCACGCAGGATTCGCGATCGATTCGAGCATAATCGAAGTCAAATTATTGTTAGTATGGCAAGCGTTTTGATGCTAGATCTGTTTTCGAAAGTAGAAATATTTGTTTGAATATTACGCGGCGGTTGGGAGTCTATGCTCAGAGCAAACACGCATTCAAACCGTTAACGCATTTCAAGGTTAAATTGAATGCACGGGCACATCACAAATTTGATCGCATCATTTTTCCACCGCACCATGCTCTTCTCGGGGGGGCGCTCACACCGCTAACTAATTGCTGAGCCATTCGGCAGACGGCGGTAGGTTTGTTGTTCGCGTGACGTTATTCGATCTACATAGAAAACCTAGCATTTACAAAGCTCGTATAATTGAAGTGATCCTGAACCTAAAGGGACAGCCAGGATGTTTTCACGCAAGTGAATATGTTTGTGAGGTTAACCGACTTGTAGACGAAGCTTTGCAGTGTTTTGTGTTTTTTGATTCTAAAGTGCCCACAGTGCGCCAGGGTTTTGTACTAGACCGCGCAACTTCAATTTTCTCTCATGTGCGACCTGGTGTCTGGCGCTTTCTGAGCTGTCGTCTCTTTTCCCTAGTCTCTGATTTCCTTACCACAGGAGTGAATAAGCTCTTAATTAGCGCGAGAATTTTTACCCGTTTTTCTCATGCCGGCCGATTTCGCATCAAGTACTTTTTTTCGTGCACAAAGTTACAGTATTTCGACATAGGGCGGCTACCTTCAGAGGTAGCTGTGAGTCTCACAATCAGCTACGGCCTTGTACATATTATGCAGGAATCGCTCATTATTAGAAATGAAGCGAATAGCAAATATCCCCGAAAATCCCCCCTTTTGCTGTTTTTTGTGCCCTCCTGTAGTCTTTTATGGGTTATATGTTGCATCATAGACGAGCGTTACCTTGCAGGCTATTCCAAATTTCATCCCTAGCTAACGATTTTTCTGCGTTTGCAATAAGATACTCAAGAACAAATTATATTGGACACTCAGTGGAGATAACACATACCATTTTTTCTATTCAGGACCCACAGTAATACCACAGCTCAAGGAGGCATACAGCAGTTGAGCCAGGAGGACCTTGCCAAGCTGACTTTAGGACTTGGATCTCTGAGTACGTTACTCTATCAATAAGAAAGCCTTTTTGCGATTAATTAGGAAGAAGATGTTTTAGTTGGTGCAATTCAAGGAAAAGCAACGGATCCTTCCCAGAAAAAGACTCCTGCTGAAGGTGAGTTCTTTCTTTTTAGGGACAATGTCGCTCAAGGAGCTATGCACGTGCTTCATTACCCACAAACATCCAACAAAGGCTCAGAAATCGATCTGGGTGGCGCTGCGTTTTGCAAAATAAGGTGATAGTGGGGTGAGGTTGTGGACATTCTAACGCGCACGGTAGTTCGACCTAAAGTACCCGACCCGAGATCAAATCGGTGGGGTGGGAGCTGTCGAAAATGAAATTATGGACACCGAACTGTGAAATAGACTAAAGCAATCCAGCGACTTAGCCATCCATAAGTATGTCCTCTTTTCCTGCTTGAAATAAAGAAGGGGCGGAGATGGACGAGTTTTTTGAACCTGCATGCTTTACGGCTCCACCAGCCTGCGTGTATTTCAATTAGCCTCTACGCCCTCATCCATGTTGTGTGTCATGGGGTGTGCACGAGGTTTTCTCGTCCATAGTCCGATTAGTCGCCTTTTTCAACGGCCTAGGGTCAATTGTTCGAGCCACTTTGGAGCCGCAAGACAGTGACACATCTGAGATACGCGTGGGCTACTCGATCTCATTCGTTGAATAGAATGCTTTTACACGACCCCATCTGGGTTGGCATAAGGCCGCGCGATCATACTCTGCGACAGTCTTGCGGTGCGAGTGCGAGTGAGGTGGATACGTATCGATCGTGCCATCGTGCGATTGCGCCATTGTTGACATGTATTCCCCATCCCCCCATTCGAACTGGTGCAAAGCAGTCGCGGCTTTTGTCACCTCAGCTTTCTCAGTTTTTGGTTGATGAATTGTCCCAACTCTGCTCCTCCAAACTCCAGTGTTTTTTTTTTTTTTCGAGGTCTGCTTGGCCTGCAGAGCTGACGGTTTTACTGTTAATGCCTGATCGGGCCAGGATACCTTAGTTGTTTTGAGATCCTATTGATTGTTCTGGGTAATTTATTTTTTGATGCCGTCTCGAGAAATGATCGTATTGCATTAAACAACCTTGCTGCGGGAGAGCCAACAATACGAAGGATTGAAGTATGCCCACATTTCTTTTTTATTTACAGAAGTAAAGAAGGCAGCTGATGAGCCAGTGGTCGACGATGTTGAGGAGGAAAGTAAGTCATTATCGTCTTCCTCTTTTCACAGTAACTGTTTTATACAGGCTCACTTTTGAAATCTCCCTTTGATACTCTAGAATGGACTACTTCTTGCGCCCTCTATCCCCCCCCTCCTTGGCTTAATCTAGATGCCGATACTCCCAACAAATGTCATGTGCGCGGACCAATGCCATATAGCGGGTCGGCAACGCGGAGGCCTTCTATCTCGACACCTGACCGCCAAGGGCCATCAAACCAAGGGGTCTGGATCATAGGCGCCATCTGTGCTTTCAAAAATGCTCGATTGCTACCTGAATTTCGTAGAGGGAGTGGACGTGAAGATACGGCACTTTCCGTGTTCATAGGCCGATGTCAGACTTTGCGAATCGCGCGATTCGCTACTAGCGATTCGCGCGATTCGCTAGCGTCTGCGGTCGCGTCGCGGCCAGTGAATCACTCAATTGGCTGGTACCGCAACGCGACCGCGGACGCTAGCGAATCGCGCGATTCGCAAAGTCTGACATCGGCCTATGCCTTGAGAAATGTCCTATTTCTCAAATCGATAATGTTACGTCTTTTCTTTATTTCGATTCAAATGCTCAACGATTTTCTACAATTACTGATTCTTACCATAAATTTGCTTTCTGTTGTTGCAGTTGGCAAAGTTGTCCTACCCGGCTACACTGGTTACAAAGACGCTTCAGCTGTATCGAAACCGAAAGCAACCTGATGGAGGAGGTCCTCTTCAAATTTTCATATCTTCCCACCATGTAATTCCACATGCATATTCTGTTTTAATAAAATCTTACAAAATGTGAAAAAAATGTTCTGCAATGACCTTTCTCGTAAGATTTTTAAAGACAACCCAGGACTGAGCTGCGCGCTAAGGTCGTGTCAATAGTCCTGCGAAATTCGCCTTGCACAGCGGTGCGCCAGGCGAATCGACGTCTGCCGCCAGCGAAACGAATTTTCACACATTTCGAAGCAAGAAACGAAACATCTCACATATTTTCGTTTTTTGCTGCGCTACACCCTCTTACTCCTATCTGCACCACGATGTCAGTGATGTTACTGCCCCCCCCCCGCGAGTACGACCCCCATGACCCAGTTTGACAAGTACGACTCTCCTGTTGAGGATCTTCTCGACCAATATTCACCCTGGTCGGTACCTTATGGAAGCTTTCGTCGAGTTGAATGCCTACATACTTGTCGGCAACGGAATCAATGCCACCATTCACCGTTTGGCCAACTCATGTCAGCCAGCATTTTCTCGTAACAAACACCTAACATTTAGCACACTATTTTTCATTGTACATTCTAATCAATGCAAATCGATGATGTCGATATCGATTCTATTAATGGCGTCTTTTGCCAATTTAAGCAAACAGAAGCAGATTCGCAAACAGGAGCGCATTCGCGTTGGGCAACGCTGTAAACATCTACGGCCCACTGCCGTTGTGAGGAATCGATGTTGTAGACGACGGCGACGGCGACGTGCCACTGCCATGGGAAGTTTTACGGCAATAAGCCTGAAGCATTCGTATATCGCACCTCTATTATTCGTTCTTCCTGTTCTCTCCAATTTCCGAGTTTCGTTCACCGGTGTGCCGTTCGTCACCTATTTTCCAGCTTTTCTGTATACGTTTTTTGAAATTCGCTTGTTATTTTGGCTCTTCAGTTAGCTTCAGTCGCGTGAAACTCCAGTCGGGGGGGGGGGGGCCACTCCATTGCTATCTTATCCGTAGTACTAGAGAGCAGTTCTTTGGGCTATCGAACACTACGGATAAGATAATAAGTGAACGACTCATTTCGAGCGTACTTTTGATAAGGACCGGTGGATGTCCTACATTCCACACTACCTGCCCACATCCCATCCACTTTTCTGCACAGGTGATCCACCCTGGAGCTCCTGCACCCTTAGCCCTTTGCGGAGGTGTCCTTTCTCCTGGTCCAGGACCGTTCCCTTGGGTCATGGCAGGCGGAAATGTGAAAACGTTTCAGGGTTTCTCACCCATTACACCAATATTTATCAGAAGTCTACTTTAAATGAGTCGATTACGTGTCGTGAGCCCTCTAATCCTTATCTTGAGTATTGGAGAAAAAATGGAGTGCCCCCCCCCCGAACTGGAGTTTCACCCTAGTCGCTTTCCAATTGAGAGCGATGAGGCCCGTTCTGTCCACACTTAATGGGATACGCCATGCAGGTGGTTGGTTGCCTTTTAGGTGGAAGCTTCTACTGGATTGTCCCATAATTGCTGTCCGAATTTCGATACTCTTTTCTCTTCAAGTTTTCTTTTCTTGAAGACCAATTGATCAAAATGCAACCATTATCATAACCGCCAATATGCATCCATTCGCCAGGGAGTTTTCGGATGCTGTCCTCCTAGAATGGGTGAAGCTAGGAGCTGAAGAATTCAGTAAGGTCGTTTTTGGAGTGGTTTTATTTAGTGACCTTTTGTCGTCGCACTGCGTGACATCGGACACTGCCGAAGGATAGCCCGATAGAGCAATGCCAGTGTATCGTGGTCCAGCCAATTCTCAAACGTTACGAGTCTCTTTGACCATGTCGGCGTCTATTCCAGGGAAAAGGAGATTTCGACTTTCAGGATGGTTCTCTCCCACTGCTGCAGCCAACCAACCGCCGAGAGCTGATTTTCGATGTATTCGCAGTACTTTTCTCCAACGGAAGACTCACTCAATCTAACAAATCAAGAAAAATATCCTCCGCCTATAGAGTTTGGGCTTTGGTTGAGCTGGTGAGTCCTGGCTGCGAGGTAGCTAGGACTCGGGATTGTTGGCACAGTGGACTCATGACTCATCTCCATTAGTTGTTGGCTACAAAAAATCTCCGTTCGAGCGGGCAACAGGGAGAAGAAATTCCCCATGAGGGTCAGACCAGTTTCTCGGTCATGGTCGGTCGGTGCATACGGCTCCAATCAAGTCTTCCTGCTGCCGCCCACTTCATCCTGATGGCGTGTGCTGGTGCATCGGCTGCGCCCAGGTGTCTGCTACAATACCCTGGTGGTAGTAACGTCCGTGTGCACTTCCAATCCATGGCGCAAGGGTCCTCATCGGAAAGTGAGTGGAGGCCCAGGATGAGGCTGATTTTCACAGCTCGTATTGTCTTTGCCATTGCGACCGAACCTCTAGCTCAGTGACCGATCAGTAGCAGAGACTGAGCCAAACAGCGCTGATCTTCTCTAGTGTCCTTCTTGCAACAGCGTCTATTTGAGGATCATAAAGCATAATCGTTCGTTATTGTCATTGACGTATTTGGACTCCTACTTAGTTAACTCGATGCGGTTGTGATCTTCCAAAACGTCCTTGATAACGACCTAGATGAATTCTTTGACATAATAACGTATTTCGCAGTGACACTAATTCGACCTGAAGAAAATTGAATTTAATCAAAAATCGGACAGGTATTATGGGACAACCCAATATGTGAATTCTTAGATGATCGGTAACCCAAAAGAATGGCTGCCGCGGGCGATGCACAGACGGTGTGACGCTGTGCTTTCACTTTTTGAAAGCTCCTTTATGATTGTGATTACGACTTATTATTGATCATTAATACAATCAGCAAAAGAGAACATGATTAGTGAGCAGGTCAACAATATAATGATTGAAAAGAAGGAAAAAATAAAATAAAAAATGAAATGGTTCAGCGAGGGAAGGAAAACGAGTAGAAAGCGAGGTGGATGGAACCAGGCAAACCGTCCGTTCGAACTGTTTTCGAACGGGGGCGGCGGGTCGATGGTATGCTGGGAGGGAATAGCGGTCGCAGTTGCGCCGTTTGCTAGTATGTTTCGGTCATCACGGGGCAGGGACTAGAGTGCGTGGGGAAAAAAGTTGTTGTGTGTCACTGGTGGTATAGCAATCCCCGCTCGACGGCTATTTTTGGGGAAGAAGTGGGTGGAGTTTCGGAGTTTCGGAGTTTTAGGTAGGTTTTGGGCTGTGTCAACTGGTCTCAGAATCAAATACTATAGAAGAGGGAGAGGTCGCGGTGGAGGAAGGCTGGTTGTATTGGGGGGGGGCGCTCGCAAAAATCCCGAAAATGTTCGAACGTGACGGTTGACCCTGGGTGGAACATCTGGCTTCAAGCAGCAGTGGTCCGCCAATACGGCAAGTCGCGAGAGTGAAATACCGTTTCGAGGTACAACTTAGCAAGGGCCGTCACTCTGCCAATAGCTCCACCTTATTTCGACGGTCTGTGTAAATAAATATTACACTGACATTCAAAAACCGTCAAGGGGAAACAAACAATTTTAGCTGGCATTGGAAAAGAATGCGCGCATGTGATCAAGGGAAGGGGGGGCCAGTTACGCCGCGCGCGGCGTTGCGGCAACAGGAAATTCGTGAGCCAGGGGGAATGTAGCCAATTCAGGGGGGTTGGGGGTGAGGGCAGTCACTTGACATGCGTGAGAAGCTGGAATGTTCGAGTTACACAACATCGCTGAGCCGCGCGCGGCGACTGCCCCCCCCCCCCCCCCCCCCCCCCAGAGCACAATTGCCCAGAATTGTAATAAGGCCTAATGTTGCACAGAAAACACCTGGCTATACAGGGTGAGTACACCTGGTATACTTTTAGTAACCTCCATGATCGAAACCTTTCAGCGCTCTAGCGTGAAACAGCAAGGCTTATCACCCACCAATGTGAATGAACAGAAGCATGGTCAGATGTAGAGAATGGGGCCCTACCGCCACATTGGCAACAAGAAGCAGAACGATTCGAGAAAACTAGCTCAAGTGTGTTTCTATCATGGGTTAGATTATCAGCATACTGTGAAAAGTTGCTGCTATTTGAGACTTAGCCATTTAGACGAAGCGTACATCTTCGCACATCCGTTCTAATCTAATTGGCTCGCTTTATTTTTCCTCCTTCTACAGTGCATCTCGTTCCCAACCTCTGTACCCCCTTACACTCAGCGATACATCCAACGCCACTCTAACCCCCCTCCAAACTTCAACCACAGGATAAAAATTTTTTCATCTCTTCTCAATGCCCATCCCTCCGATGCCTCCTCCGCCGCCTCCCCACCCCACCACACACTATCCAAGCGGATCCAAAATCTAAAAACATCGTCACATAGCACCGAAGTAAAGCGTGAATTATAATGTTCTGCTGTAGTCACGTACAATGCGCGACGCATTGACGCGCAGAAGTGCGTGCTCGCCTCCCACTATTCGTTTTCTCTGCGCTCTCTCAAAGGAGAGAGAATATGTAGAAGCCAATAGGATAGCCATTAGGCATTGTCATTGAAAATCGGTCGATGCCGATGCGCATTGTACGTGACTACGGCAGAGACGTCGTAATTCACGCCTTACTTCGGGTGCACACTATATCTAAACGGCTTATCTCCGACTTTGCAGACTTGTAGAGGACCGTACCCATAGTAGAGTTTGGTGTCTGGTGTCAGCAATATAACGATATTTCTAGTAGCTCTTCGCGACCTTTAAGAATTCCTTGAACGAATTTGGGATTGAGCAGTTCACAAAGATTGTTGTACTCGATGCCCCCGTTTCTTGGGATAGCGCCGAAAGTGATTCAGCTCACCATAAACAGGTATGAGGACCTCAGAAGCTCTTTGTATGCATGACAGCTCGATTCCCTCCCCGCCGTTTGGAGGCCGCATCGGAACTTGTTGTGATCCTTCCATGTGATGTTGTTTACTGCGAAGAGACTTGATGGGTGTGTCTTAATCAGCCCTACATAAGACATTTTCGAAT